AAGCAGCTTCTCCTGGGAGCTTGTTAGAAATGCAGGCCCAGACTCAGACCTACTGAGTCAGGATCTGCATCTTATCACACCGCCCAGGTGAGTCTGTGCTCCTCAAAGTGTGAGAGGCCCTGCGCTGTGCCCTGTGGTTTTCTGGCCAATGGTGGCCCATGTCCCTGGGATACAAGGTCCAGGAGGGCAGGGGCTTTTTCTGATTTGGTTCTGAGTGCTGTGGATAAAGTAGGAGTTCAACAAACTCCTGGTGACTGAGTAGGGAGGAGAACTCAGCCTCCAGGCACCTGAACAGGCTCTTTCCCCCTAGGCTGTGCCAGGCCCCTGACCGCTGAGCGAGGCTGGCGTCCGGGTGGTGCCAGGAGTCCTGGCCTGCCGCCCACTGAGTGCCTGTTCCCGAGGCCCCGACTTTCTCTCCTCTTCACGGTCTCGCTCTGTGGAGGGCAGTTAGATCCTGATACCCGATGGAAGCCCCTCCTGGAGGGACAGCAGCTTGAAGCCCCTTGGATGCCCTGGGGATGCCCGCTTTGAACCTTTCCTGGAAATGAATTAGTTGGAGACCATTTTGGTGCCCTCACTTACTAAATCCACAGCTGTCCGGAGTGAGAGGAGGGAAGGGGCCTGAGTGGTTGGAGGAGGTGAGGGAAGGGCGCCACCTGCGTCCGTCTGCCCTGGAAGAGGTCAAAGTTGCCGGGCAGAGGGGTGTAGCGGGTGGGGCGGCAGGTGCTATGGGGCTGGAATTTCTCAGACCGTATGTCGCAGGAGGATGGTGGCTTCTGTCTGCCGGGGAGGCTGGCTCAGGCAGTGGAGGTTTCTGGAAGGGTGGGAGAAGGTCCCCGAGAGAGCCCCCTGTGATGGGACCCCCCGGGTCAGAGGCTCGGAGCACACCTTTTCCCCCAGTGAACACTCTCTCGTGGTCAGGGGGAAGTCTGGGTGGGCTTGGGGTGGGGCCGAGCCGTAAGGGGTTAAGCAAGACGCTGGGTCGGCAGGTGCTTGCATCTTGGGGGTGACAGCCATGTGCAGACAGAAAGAAATGCTATTTTCATTAAGGAATTTATTTCTCTTAAAAAACAACACCAGTGGTTCCATCTAGATACAGCAGCACAGTGACCTATTAGACGGAACGTACACAGATTCAGAGCAGCAGAACAAAAGCCGTTATCTTCAGGAAGGACCTCCAAAATGGAACTATTTTCTTTCATCATCAATGTGAAAATTTCCCTGAAAAAAAAAAAAAAACAGAAACCTTTGGATACTAGAAGGATTATTATTTTAACACTACCAATAGCCACTAAGCTCTTCGACTTGAGAACATTTGCTTTTGATCTATTACAAAAATGATTTATTGACGGACTGGAGAAAGACATCTAGATTCTTCTTTTAGGAAGCGTCTTTCCGTCCCCGGGGAGAGCTAGCTTTTCAAATGTTTTAACCACTGTCCCCAGCATGAGACCAGTGGAGAACCCCGGCCCGCAGGGAGCAGGCTCTGACCCGCACACTCTGGCCTTCCAAAGGCGACGGGGGAGGGGTCACAGGGGACGAGGCCGCCCTGTCCTGGTCCCTTGTGACAGAAAGAAGTGAGCTCTCTGCTGGTCGTGACTCAGCTCTGTTGCTTCAACATGCACAGCGAGGTCACACTCGTTCTCTTTCCAAACAGAGGCTGTAAAGTTAGGAGGTCCTGTCTCCGAGGGTGGGGCTAGGAGGACAGGACACCACGCAAGAGCTTGTCCTCGGAAGGTGCAGGTGCTCACGCGGACATGGGAGCATGCAGCAGCCCAAGAGGAGGGCTGATGTCTCCCAAGTGGGGCACTTCCTCTTCATCTGGGGCGGGTGATCCTGGCTGTCCGCGAGGCTGCCGGTCCCTTTGGCCAGGCCTGGGATGCCAGGTGCAAGGAGGTTGCGGTGCTCCTTCCGAAGTGAGGTCTGGGTCAGGGGCTCACTTGGGAGAGTCGGTGGGAAGCCGATGCCCCAAGCCTTTCAGGGAAGGACGGGGTGTGGAAGAGCGACGAGGAGCTTCGACAGTGGGCAGGGCTCCTTGGGAGGTGTGGAGACCCCGGCTGCTCCGGGGCATGCCCTCCGCGTCGTCGGGGCTCGCTGGACTCCCGGGCAGGTGGCCGCATCCTGTGGTGCCTTCGATGCCAAGGCGGCGTCCACACGTGTCCCCAGAACTCACCACCATGTGTCGTGGCGGGCTGCCTGTCGAGCGTGCGTAAAACCCAGGTACCCTGCTCTCCACACGGCTTGCCCCTCCAAGACTGAGGTTTGCTAAGAGCAGTGCATTTCAGGGAACGAGCCCTTCTGGGGCCACTGGAAACACAGCCACGCTTAGCAACTGTGCAAGTGAGCAGCCTCAGAAGCACGCGGTTTAAAAAGTGATGTTCCCAGCCTAGAAAGAGTCGGGAATGAATGATACGGGATGGGGTAGCATTCCCCTGAAGGCAGGGCTCAGGCCTTGGTGATATTGTGGGTGATCTTATGGGAGCTCCCCCACCCCCGAGGGGGCTCGATAAACCTTTGTCAGTCGTGGTGCTCGTGGCAGGGATCACCCCTGTCCCACTGGGGTGACAGCAGCTTGTCTCCTGGGAAGTGGAAGCAGAGAAGTTTCTGCAGGGCCCTGCGTCTCATCTCAAAGGCACAAGGTCAGAGAACGTCCGGCGAGGAAAATGTCATGCTTGGAGAAAGAGAGGCCCTTCCGTGAAGAGCTCAAATGCTGGGGAAAAAAAAAAAAAACATCCATTCACTGACCAAACACACCTCATCCCAGGCAAGGGGATGGGGAGGAAGGTGGGGTTTGTTTTTTTTTCCCCCCTAATTTAAAAATACCTTTAAAAAATGTAGCTATAGAAAACAAGTTGGAGGAGAAGCTGGGGGTGGGGGAGAGGACCTTCAGTGACTCGGGGACTGGGGGCCTTGGTGGACAGGAGGGCTGATTTTCAGGCATTGTTTTAAATAATGACTTCCCTTCTCTTGCAGGAAACGGAGGGTCAAAAGGAACGGGAGGGAACAGAGAGGCTGTGGCTCTGCACCCCATCCTGGGGGCACTCGGTGGGGAGAGGCTGCAAACACAAAGGAAGACTCCAGTCATCTTAAGAGGCCCACAGAGGCCTGTGTGTCAGCCTCGTTGGAGCTGCCGGGATGCAGAAACACCTGGGGCAGGTGCATGTTGTCCTCCTTGCTCCGTGAGGATTCTGTGCTGCGGTCGGCCAGTGTGGGGCTCAGAGGCTTCTCAACACCAGTCATTCGGTAAGCAGGGGGTTGCTGTGAATTGGGCAAAAGGAAGGAGGGAGGGTGGGAGCTTGGGCTGGTGACTGTCCCAGGAAAATGACTGTCCTTTCCATTGAGAAAGGAGGGTCAGCAAGAGCTTGAGGATCTTAAAATACTGGTCAAGGAGCTTTCCACTTCGTTGGCAAAAACGGAGTATGGCTGTTTGCATTTATCTGGTACGCAGCCCCGGGAAGGTGCCAGAAGCAGCCTCGTGAGGCCAGGGCTGGTCTTGAAGAAAATAATACTGCACGTTGGAGGGATCCCAGGGCGGCCCAACAGCTCTGCCATTTGTTTGTCAAGTGACCTAAAACGATCAGTCCCAAAGGCCGCCCCCTCTCCAGCAGTGCGCTCCAGGACCCACTGGCCCAGTCTGACAGAGGAGCACGGACACTGGACGGAGGCGGCCATGCCCACTACCGCTCCTCCGTCCAAGCTCGCGCTCCAAGCGGCCCGGCTCACAGTAATCGTTTTGGGAGAGTCGCGTCCGAAGCCCTGCTGAAGCTAAGGCAGCAGTGCCCTTTCTTGAGGGCGTGTTAGAATGTTCTGGAGAGCTTCTTAAAGATGCAGATTCCTGGGCCCTACTCCCAGAGAATCCATTCCATAGGTTTGGGGTGGGGCCCAGGAATCCGCATTTTGACCGGAGCCGCCTGTAGGTAGCGCTGGACCCACACTGGGAGGAACCCTGGCAACTGCCGGGTGGCTGACACCATGTCTGAGTGAGGCTGACTCGGTCGCCAGGGACTCAGCCAGGCAGGGGAGCAGGGGTGTCAACCACTCCCCCTGTTCTGGGGCAGGGGGGAGGCGAGGGTGGATTTGCTCTTTGTCACTTTTCAGAGGCAACAGGAGGCGGCCAGGGGCTCAAAGGGCCTGGGGACTGCCCTTGGAAGACCCTGGCCTGGCAAAGCCACTGGGTCCTCCTGGGGGCAACCTGAGCCTGAAGTTTTGAGATGCCCCGTTAGAGCATCTTGGTCCCACCTCTCCCAAGAAGTGACAGTGAGTTTGTCTTGAGCTTCCGTGGTATCCCAGCCCTCTCCTTAGCCATGCCATTGTGTGGAGAGCCAACCCCACCCATGCCACCTGGGCCGGGGTATCTGCGGGGCCTTGTGAAGCTCTCTCCAGACCCTGTGACCCCGTAAACACTTGAGGAACATGTCTGGAGCCCCTGGGCAAGCCTCCCTCCCCCTCTACGGACTCATTCGGTAGGACTCCACTGACCCCCACTCCCTGAGGCTTCCTCAGGCCACAGGATTTGGGATAGCTGGGGTTCCATGACTACTCCTTATCATCGCGACACATCCCTTACAAAATAGAGTAAAACAAAAATCCCCAAATGCAAGCCTCTTGAAAACATACAGGCTTTAGCAGTTAGAACCTGCTTAGAAAGAAAGAGGCCCAGCTCTGCGTACCGGCCGCCTTCCAGAAGGAAGAGGAGGCCAAGGCCAAAGCAACGCGGACACCGTGTGCCTCTAAAGGAAACGATGGCATTGGCCCTAGGAGGCTCCAAAGACCCCACGGAGGATGTTCTGACCGGGGCTGAGGTCCCAAGTGTGTCTGGAGCACTTAATTCAGGTTGTTACAAGCCAACAGCATGGTGACATCAGTGTGAGGGAAAGGTTACAGAGATGGATACAACCAATCCTTTAAAGGTGAAATGTGAATCATTTTCTACATTTAATAAAAACATTTTCTCATTTGAGGCTCTGGAAGTCTTGAGTCACTTTTTTTTTTTTTTTTTTGTAAATCCCCTCCCCCCCCCGCCCACTCTAAAATGCCTTAAAACACATGGCTTAACAGCGGCTGCACAGAAAATATACACCCTCAAAGTCTGACTTTCATTTAAATACAAATATACAAAATGTAAACTGAGACAATAGAGAAATTTACAAAACTTTTCTTTAAAAATAATAAAGACAAAATTCAGTTCTAGGTATGACGCTATTAAAATACGTGCAAGTTGTCGTATCCAATTGGATTTCTATTGCAATGTTCCACGTCGGCTTGAGGGCCACCTCTGGAGACAGACCTGAGTGGAAATCTCTTTGAGAAACCTGGAGGCTCTGCGTCGAGGAGGCGGCCAGCCTCCTTCCTGGCTCCTGGAGGGCTCCCCCGTCCACAAGTTCTGCTGCGAAGGACAAGGGTCTAGGCTGGTCCCACCGCGGACGTCAAGGCCAGAGCTCCAACTAGCTGCTGCCGGTGGAGTTTGAACTGACATGGTTTGAATTTATGTGGTGGTTAAAACTGGTCTTGGGATTGGGTGAACTCTTGGAATTGTTTTGATGCTGGAGGAGAGAGAGGAGAGAGAGAGACAGGGGGAGACAGAGTTAGTCCTGGCGGACGTGTAGGGGCCTCTGAATCTGAAAACAGCGCCATGGTCAGGGGCTGCCCATCAGCTCCTCTTGCTTTCTGCTGCCTGGTGCCCTTCTTCCGCTGCAGACCCAGGGCCAGAGGCCACCCCTTGGGGCAGGGGGAGAGCTATGGGATTAAGAGGACCCCAAGGCAGGGAGGGGGCAGCCCCTCCTAGAATATCTATAGGGTTCATTACTGTAGGCCCAGGGTCTGAAACCTGTCGCTTAGCTGAGGGACCTTGAGCGAGTCATTAAATCTCTTGGTTGCCCTGCGTGCCCTGCGGGCCAAGAGCAGCTTCCGTGCTGGGCCGGTGGAGTGTGAAGCGAGGCTGTGTGTAGAGGGCCTGAGCGGGTGCCCAGCCCCAGAACCAGGAGCTGCTTGCTCTTACCGACCTCTCTGTCCCTCAGTCCTCTTGCCGGCCCTGGGCACTGACCTTGCAGGAGGGCCCACAGAGGCTGGGATGGGTCAGTGCGGTGCCACCCAAGCAGCAGAAAGTGTCGGGGCCAGATGGGAACCCCGGGTCTGTGAGCCTCCACAGCAAGCGCTTGTCCCAGGACCTAAGTACGTGCTAGGGACTCAGCCATGTGGAAGGGGACAGGTCCTTTCTTTGGAGAACTTCAATTTTACTTGGTGGAAGCATTTTAAAATTATATTTTTATAAGGGCATATACAAACAGGAGTCTATTTTGGAACAGGATGTGAAACTCACATGAAGCTTCCAGATCAAACCCCGAACTTGCCCTCAGTCTGCGTTTTCTCTTCATGTGCCTGATCCATGCTCCCTGCTGTTATCCCCAGATCCTTCGTATGGGTTTACCAGCCGTGTGACCTTTGTGACCTTGACCCTCCCTCAGCCTCAGTTTCCCTATCTGTGAAGTGGGGTAATGGGAGCACATCCTGGGCTCACACTGCGCTAGGACCCCCAGAAAGGAGGGATCCTGGTTTGCCTTGCTGGTGCATCTCAAACCCTGAGGAAACAGCCTTGCACACAGTGGGCGCTCGCTACAAACTGGCCGAAGGACTGAACAGTTGAATTAAGGCCCAGGCTTTTGTGGAGATTAAGTAAGAGAAGCCCTCAGAAAGCGCTCAGTGCAGAGCTAGGTCCACAGCAGGGCACCATCGACAGCCACCCCATCCTGTTATCAGGGTGGGGATGGGGGAGCTGGGAAGCCCGGGGACCAGGGTTGCTCCCCTCTCCCTCTTCATCCCCCTGGGGAGAGGGGCAGCTCCTTGGGGGTGGGGTGGGGTGGGGTGGGGGGAATGTAAATAATGGAGCCTCCCAGGCTGTGGGACGGACACACTGGCGCCAAGCCTTCTTCAAGGGAGGCCAGGAGGGGGCGCTATTCTGGCCGCCTTGGGCAAGGGGGATGAGGTGAGGGCGTCCCCGCAGGGCGTCCCCCGCGGGGACATTTCTTCCGTTTGGCCCACGCCGAACCCCAATCCAGGGACAGGCTCTGAGGAAGAATGCCTTTTCCCAAGGGGCGAAGTCTCCTGAGGCTGCCAGCTGGAGGCCGCAGCATCCACCTTGGGGGGCCCCACCCCAGGAGCCATGGGGTTCTGCAGGGCTCACCTCTCCCACACCTGTTCTGCCTGCTCTTTGTTACGTGCGATCGCTACCTACAGAACTTGAGTCTTTACAAGGGCCATAGGGGGCAGTTAGTTCTCTGTCGGGGAGACTTCGCCTCCAGAGGACACGGGGCCAGGTCTGGAGACATTTTCGATTGGTACAGTGGGAGGGGGCGCTACTGGCGCCTGCTGGGTAGAGGCCACGGAGGCTGCTAAATATCCTCCAGTGCACGAGAGCCCCCACGACAGAGAACTCACCGCGAAGGTCCACAGGGGCGAGGCCGAGAACCCTTGATGAAGGGCGAGCTTTGGGCCGGCCCTGCCCGATTCCACCCTGCGGATCCCTCAGCTGGCGGGCACAGGGGCTCGGGCAGGCTGCTGCGGCCCCTGGTCTCCCACGCCCCCCTCGCACGCAGGGAGAAGGCCGCAGGTCCGGTCTCGGGGAAGTAGCTGGGCCCAGGGCGTCCCGGGGCCAACGCCAGGACAGCCGGGCACAGAGGGGGCGTCCCTCACCTGACGCTTGAAGATTCTCTGAAGCAGCCCTTTCTTCGGCGGTTCCGGAGGGTGACTTCTGTTCAGGTCCGGTGAGAGGGTACCGTTAGGTCCAAACACGTTCAGCTCCTTAAAGCACTCGGTTTCTATCATCTGGAGAAGCCGGGCAAAGGTGGCATGAGGGGCTGTGTGAGTCATCTTGGCTGGACAGGAGTCCCAGCAGCCCCCACTCTGCCCTGAGCCTGCTCCCAACAGATCCTGCACCCACCCCGCATCCTTTAGGGACCCAGGCCCAGACTGCTCCCCGCCTGCCACGGCCTCTCCCCTGCCGGCCTCCCCCAGCTGCCTCCACTGAGGAAGGAGGCAGGGGGTATGCTCATCGTCCAGCCGCCAAACCCACACCCCCTCTCCCTCCTCACCCCACCCAAGCCCAGGTCGCCCCACATGCCCTGCGCCCCTCCCCTTGTCAGGGCCCCCTCCCCTGCCCCATCCTGCGGAAGCGGCGCGGGCTTCCCCCAGCTCGGGCCCGTGTTCCTCCTCTCTCCCAGCCAGTCCGCTAGACGACTGTGTCCATCCCGCCTCCTATCCCTCTTCTGACCCCCACGCCAACGGCTGACGGAGTCCGGGCCTGTCCCCCCGGCCCAGTGGCCCCCTTCAGGGTGCAGACGGCCACCGCCCTGCTCACCTCGCTCTGCCATGGGATGGGCACGGAGCCCGTGGAGAACTTGGAGTAGAAGTCATCGTCCGTGTGGTCCAGGTTGACGCCTTTCACGGTGGAGAACTGCTCGATGTCCAGCACGTCCTTGCAGTACACGGCGCGGGGCTGTGGGCAGAGCGCTCGGTCACACGGGGCCTGTCCCAGGCCCGGCACCCCCAGCCACAGGTTCTGATGGGGGCGGGGGGGGCGCCTTTCTGGGGACCAGTGCTGCTCTCTCTCACAGATCTGCCCAGGGGCTCCTTCCTGCCATCACGCTTATGCCAGCTGCTGGTCACCCCACTCTCCAGGCTGGGGCCGCGGTGGGGTGACGGAACACGCCCTCTCTGACCTCACATTCCTCGGCACCTCAGGGGATCCCCGCTCCCACAGAGCCCACAGGATCAGGATGGTGGAAGCGTTTCTAGACATCTCTGTGGGAATGAGGGCGGCCACAGCTGGGGCCTCCGGCCTCCGGCCCATTCCTTCTCCACAGAGAGAAGGAATGCTGGGGGCCCAGGGCCAGAGAGCCATGCGGCCCAGGGAGGCCCTCCGGGCCCTTCTCACACCACTGCACACCCAGGCTCTGCAGCCCGACAGGCCTGGGCTGGGCTCCCAGCCGTGGTGCTTAGGCACTCTGGGGACGTCACATACCCCTGTAGGCCTCAGTCTCCTCACCTGCCAAGTAGGGACAGTAGAAGCACCCATGCCTGAGGCTGATGTAAGTGCCTGCCACGGAGCCAGGCCCCAGAACCACGAGCTGCGGCTGTCACAGCGCTAAATACCCGCTACTCTCACTCGCCACTGGCCCCGTCCTCCCGGAGTTCAAGGACATTCGCTAAGTCAAGGTCGTGAGGGGGTGCACAGGCTCAGCCTGGGCTGGGGAGGCTACTCACGTCTGGAATGAAGGGAGGGTCCAACATCCCGGCTTCTAAGCGCTTGAAATTCATGTTCCTGAAGAAGGGGTGTCTCTTGACCTCCGCGGCCCCCTCCTCCCGGCAGCCCAGTCTCTGCTTTGCATCTTTGGTGAGCAGCTGTGACAAGAGAGCCCCGAGAGGTCATGCCTGGTGGGCCTTTCCTCCTGCTGAAGGCAGGAGGCTTGGGGCTTCAGGCACTGTGGCCATGTCCTTTCACAAGTATGCCCGAGTGCGTGTTCCTCCTCCAGCCTCTGCAGGGCTCGTGCCACCCCCAGGCACCCAGCGGACATGGCCCCAGCCTGCTCGGGCCTGCTTCAGGGCGGCCTCGCGCTCACACCGGGCTCAGATGCCTGGAGCCTGCAGGAGAGCAGGAGTCCCGTCTGCCCTCCCCAAGGCGGCAGGCCCGGCGCGGGCAGCACCGTGCCAGTCTCCTGCTACACGTAAGCCAGAGGGCCGGCACCGTCTCTGCGAGCCTCGCTCATTCGCTTACTCAGCTCCTACGTACTCTGTAGACGTGTACCTGGTTGGCACAAACCACTGTGCCGAGAGGGAGGAGGGGCACCGAGTGGCCTCAGCAAGATCACATTCGGAGGACCCATCCAGGCAATACACAGGTACGACACCACGGTGACAGAGGCACACAACCTGGCCGCCACCTGGGGGGGCTGCGGGCAGGTGGGGAAGGCATCGGGGGAGGGTCTGCGCTAGCAAGAGAGACCTGCGGGGCAGGCTTGGGGAACACCTGTCTTTGAGTCTGGGGGAGGGATGAGGATGTGGGGGAGGGGTCAGGGTGAAGGGGACGTGCTGGGGAGAGTGCTGGAGGGTCCTGAAGGCCAGGTCAGGAGGATTTTGATCTGGAGGTACTGGGGAGCCACGGATGGTCAGGGTAGAGGAATGTCCTCATCAGAACCAAGAGGTGGGAAGGTTCATAGGAGAGGAGGAGGCTGCAGAAGCAGACAGCCAGGCCAGAGGCCTAGAGGTGTGAATGAGGCCGGGAGGCTGGCGGTGCGGGGG